TTATTTGTTTACTGGCTCAAAACTCCCTCACAGACAGTGCTGTGTGAGATGGTGCATTGTCATGATGCAAGAGCCATGAATTGGTGAAAAGTTCAGGTCACCTTTTTCACGCAGCCGTTTCAGCACTTCCAAATAGTAAATCTGGTTAACTGTTTGCCCAGTTGGTACAAATTCTTAATGAATAACCCCTCTCATATCAAAAAAGGTTAGCAACATCATTGCAACAAGTTCGCAAACTTAATTGCAATACCTCATACATCACTGAACAGAACAGTTTGTATTTAGTAGGAGACAGACAATAAACAACAAATATCTTTCATGAGCAAATTATGTAACATGTCGGAATATGGTAGTGCCAATGAAAAATAAAATGTAGAAACGGAGCAACTGCAGGAGTTGCAACTACAAATAGGACTCCAGGGCAGATCTCTCTTAGAAGCAGACATTTGAACAAAGGCTTGAAGACAGCAAGGGAATGAGCCATGCAGAGGTCTTGGAGAATAGAGTTCCAGATAGGAGGAAGAGGCATTGCAAATGCTTTAAGGTGGGCAGGGTAGCTGAAGTGGAGTGAAAAATGGGGGGCAAGTAGGAGAGGAGGGCAGAAAGTCACTTTGGGGGCAGATGGTATGAACTCTGTCCCCAGTGCAAGGACTTTAGCAGTTACCCTGAGTGATATGGGAATCACTGCAGAGTTTTGAGCAGAGGAGTGACGTGGCCTGACATGTACTTTAAGGGCACATTCTAGCAGTTGTGTTGAGAAAACAAGCCAGAGCAGGTGGAAGCAGGGAGATCAGCTGGAAGGCTACTGCAGCTATCAATGCAGGAGATTAAGATGGAAGCAGCCAAGCTGACAAGAAGTGCCAGATACTGGATATATTTTGAAAGTACAGCTGAGAGGAGTTCCTGATGAATTAGCTGTGGAGTATAAATTAAAGAGTGGAATCAAGAATAACACCTTGGTTTATGGCCTAAGCAAACCAGCAGCACAGGAATGCCTTTATCTAAGCTGGGGATGTCTTTGAATAAAGCCATTTGCTGGAGGGGAATAATCAGTTCAAGTTTATTATGTTAAGTTTGGGGTGCCTATTAAATATTCAAGAGGAGATGATGAATAGGTGGTTGGATAGTCAAGTCTGGAGTTCAAGAGAGAGGTCTGGATTAAAAATAAAAAGTAGGGAATCACTGGTATACAGAAAGCATTAAAACCTTGAGGCAGGGTTAAGTCACCGAGTGTAGATGTAGAAAAGGGTCAAGGACAGGGCCCTGGGCACCCCAACTTTTAAAGAGCCAGGAGAAGGACCAAAACCGGGAAAGGAGACCAAAAAGGAATTAAACTCTCTTCCTCGAAACAATTCTCTTCGCTTCTAGGACAATATATTCTCCTGTTTCCTCTTACTTGACTGCCCACTCCTTCTTAGTTTTCTTTGCTCTGAGGTGGATGGAGTGAAATAAGTATCTAATAGATTTGGCAGGATGGAGGTCATTTGTGACCTTGACAAGGGCGCTTTTGATGGAGTGATTGGGATGAAAGTCTGATTGGTGTGAGATCAAGAGAGAATAGGAGGTGTGTATGTACAGGCAGTGAATACTGGCAACTCCGTGATGTTTGCAGCTAAAAAAAAAAAATGGCAGGTGAAATAGTATTGGAGAGGAATATGGGAGGAAGAGGACATACATAGACATACATATACACGAAGACAGGAGGGAGTACACTATGCTTCTGTGCTAATGTTAATTACTTAGGAAAGAGAGACAATTGACAGCAGGAAATGGGATAACTTCAGGAGCAGTCATTCAAGGTTAAGAGGAGAAGGGACTGTGGTGCCCGGGTAGAGGGGTTTGCCTTAGAAAGGGGCAGGAACACTACATCAATGTAACAACAGGAAGGAGGGCAGAGTCCAGGAGAGGCAGGGGGGATGGGAGCTATGGT